GGATGAGTTCAATAACGTTACTGGGGTGATTCCTGTAAAATATATCGCATTCACATGCATATTCAACTAGTCCATGTATTGCAATAGTGTGCAGTTACATTGTTGGTGTTACTGTATTTTAGTTTTACATATTTAACAGCATTCCAGGAAGTCGTTTTACGCATTTACAAAATGTCGAATTTAATAAACCCGTGATGATAGACGAGCTCATGTGTTATTGAAAGTATAAATCAAGACTTCTAACACATTGGTTACACATTATTCAATTCGGCACATCAAATATATCACTATGTAAAGTGTACACTTGATATTGACGTTAAGTTTATGGGCCTACTGGTATTATGTTATCGTTTGACTGCATGTTGGCTGCTTAGATGAGTAATTCCAATCAATAACAACAGGTGGTTGGATTTTACATAAATATAATTATTTGACATGTGTTTTTTATGTATTTTATTCCTTAGCATAATACTTTTCAAAACTGAACATTGTGATCGTTAACAATATCTCCCAGTCCTCTGCTATGTAAAGAAGGGGGAAATTACCTAATTCAATGTCTCTTAAGAAGAGTAAACTGTTGTCACCTTTGAAATATTACTTTCGTTAAGCATTACTTAATTAAATGTTGCCATATTACTAAAAGTGTATACTTGTCCAATGTCACTGACAGTGTGGATTTGCCCACAAAAAAAATCTGGCAAAAAATGAAAGTGTGGAATTTACCGTTTGATTCTAATGTTTAAGTTGTTTGCCTCTACATTCAGGAACAAATACAAAAGCAACGTGATTTAAAAAAAACAAAAAAACAACAAGGACATATAGGTAACAATAACGTTTTTTACAAATAAATTAAAGGAGAAATACCTTTTTTAATGAAATGGGGATGGATATTTTTACCTAGCCATTTTAATACAAATATTTTAATCTTTTATCTAGCCTATTTAAATTTGCTATGTTAATTGTATTGTATGCACCTTGTATTGCAACTTTGCATGAAAGGCATTAAATAGATAATACAGCTTATTTTTTAGGTTTAGAAGGCGATAAGTTACTGGGGGATGAAGAAATAAAAAGCTACAGTAATAGCTAGATTTGCTTTATTGGAGAAGGTTTGAATGGATTTTATGCATTTTCCTCATTGTGGGTTTGGTTTAGTATTGGTAATTCCATTTCAAAATGTTGGCATTGACGTTTAAAACTACCATTGCTTGTTGTCCAGTCTAAATCTCGGTTTGTCTTTTGTTGCAGCCTCTGACAGAGCGCTCCTGATCGCTGCAGCTGAGCCTCCCTGTCTGCTTCAACATGCCGCTGGTGTTGGACGCAGTGTGGGCGCTGTGGAGCATCGGAGCTGGCATCTATGACTACTTCCACACCACTGCCATGGAGGAGAGGATCCACACGCTGGAAAACGTCCTCTCTATCCACCAGTTTGTGATCGCAGGCCTGTCGGCAGGGCTCCTCCTGCTCATTACCTACATATTCTGGAGAAAACACTAAAACCTCTCCCACTAAGCTCCCACTACATCTTGATTTGTCGCAGGATATCAGGCATTAACCATGCTATCCCGATGCTGACAGTTTGGTTTATGTGGCTGTTCTCACTTGAAGATTGAGCCCAAATTAGGTCAGGAGCACTGATGGGAAACTAAAATGCGCAGAAAAGCTTGATAAGGACCTTATAAACATGTCCATTACCCATCACTTTGTGGGCCTTGGGGTGTCAGCTTCTCCCTTGTTTTTGAATGTTAAACTGGCCTAGGTACAACTAATACAAAATCGTCACTAGGCTAATTTGCACTTTGACTTTTTTTGCCATGCTTGAAGGACATCAGTCTTGAGAAAAACTCTTTGAAATGACTCATTCAAAGGTCCCATGTCATGCTTTTCCGGTTATTACCCGTCCCCTTGTGTGTTATGAAGGTTTTTCTGCATGTAAACGCCTGTAAACGCTCTGCGGTCACAAACCCTCAAAGTACACCCTGTAGCGAGTAAAACTCTAACACAGAAAAGACGTGTCTATGCTGCCCCAGAACACCTCGTTGAGATTTTCTTTTTCAATTTTTTTCTTCCGGGAACCAAGTGACGTAACGACGACCCCTCCAAGGATTGGTCAAAATGGACCAATCCGTGGAGCCGTTACGTTACGTCCGCAGAGCCGTTACGTTAACTTCCTCACAACACACACTCATTCTTTTCTCAGCTGCAGCTCCGCCGATTTCTCCTCCGAGACGGCGGGACGCGGCGAGGCTGTGAGTCAGTGTGTGAGCGCACACACAAACTCCCAGCCAGGCTGCGTGTGTGTGTGTGTGTTTCGGGCTAGGTTTCACTGTGTCTCTCTGTCTCGCAGACGGCCACTGGGCTCATAGGGAGAGGGTGGCAGGAGCTCCAACAAGCCGTTTAGGACAGAGAGTGAATGCACATACTATACAGAGATGCTGTATGAGAATGTGATTTTGGAAAATTGCACAATATAAATCTATTTTAGTAGACCTCAACAATGGAATTGTGATCAGTAGAAATGGCCATGACATGGGACCTTTAACAGAATACTTTACCCTCAAATTGGCATTTGAATATCAATTACTCACCCTGTGTTACTACTTGTCACAACATTTCAATATGGTTTACTGCAATACCATAATTTTTTTGTAATATTGCAACAGAGATGCTCTTACATAATTGAATTTTACAGACTTAAGAATATGTCTTTGTTGGGAACAGGTCGCACCATAATCTTTTTTATATGTTTTAAAATCAAAATGAGAATAATAATGTAAGGCTTATCACTCCCTTCAATTAAGCTATTATCAGAATTCTAATATCAGTCAAAATAACTGCAATTGACTTTTTTCCAAACATGATCTGAACTGAACGGCATCAAAACTAAATGAAAAGAAAAAAAAAACATAGTTTTCTTCAAGTACTCAAGGTAACACAGGTTAACCGTACACAAATGATCATTTTGGGGGTAAAATATTTATTTGAACATCTTCCAAAGGTGTGATGTGGTGCAAAGACGTTTTGCCAGGGGAGACCATTTTAAAAATGACCTTTGGATTTGTTACAGATGTTAAATGCGATTGTGGTTGCTACCAAGTTTTTTAAAAACCTGTTATCACAAGATCACAATGTAATACTTATAAAATCCACTCTATCCTCAAAAACAAGTCACTATTTCTTATCTGTTTTTTGTAGGGATTATTAATTTCTCTTTATCTTGAGATAGTATTGCTCAGACATATACTGTCTGTATGTGTATGTAAGCCTAGTATAAAGAGATATTAAGACTTTTCAATGAAGTTGTGATCTTGAGGCAGCAGGGTTAAAAATAAAGGCTATTTTAAAAGTTGGTTTCAGGTCATGATGTTTGCACAACACTATCCTGGTTTGAGGTAAAAGACCTGGTATAACAGGCTGAGCACAAGATAACACAGTTAAGAAGGTCAAACACTGGTGTAATACTTAATCTATTGTTGATTTTGCTAAACTGAGGAGAAGGGATTTAAGATGAAGGTTAGTCTATTTATTTTTGGGATGTTTAATGGCAACATTAACATTTTCACCACAACTGTTACCTGTCCGAGTTTTGTGTATTGTGCTTTTGTGTTTTAAATGATTTAATCCAGTGTTGTTGACTTTAACTACCTGCTTCCGGGGTTCATTGCCAGTGTACTGTATGTACTACTGTATGTTACTCTGACAAACCGCTACGATGGCTACTTTTAAAGGGAATATGTTTGACTAATAAATCATAACGTAAGTCCAAATTTTGTGATTCAATTCTGCCTTTTTGCTTCCTGTCATGAGAGTCTTTGTGTGAAATACATGATCCTGCCTTTCTTGAGTATTTTTTACTGGTAAATACATTTATGTTTTTTAATCAGCTTCCATCTTGATCCTTTTGTATCAATTGTATGTTAAATAGGGAGGCTGTGGCGCAGTGGTCTAGTGCGTTGGTGTTTGGATCAAGGGAGCATAGGCTCAAACCCCACTGCAGTCAGCATGTCGTTGTGTCCCTGAGACACTTCACCCCAAATTGCTCCGGGATTGCCCACAGTACTGAATGTATGTAAGTCGCTTTGGATAAAAGTGTCTAACAAGTACCATGTAATGTAATGACATGTGTAAAAGGTATGAAGTACGAGAAGGCTTTGAAAAGTGACATCTGAATGTTTAATACATTTTAAAGATTTTTAAGTCACTTAGTCTGGTCAACTGTTTTAGTCCGGATGCTAATTACCAGCTTTGATAACATTTTAATGCATCAATACATACAATCAAAACATAAGTATATGTTGATGCCGATACCGTAGTACTTTTACTTAAGTAACATTTTGAATGCAGGACTTTTACTTCACAATCATATGGCATGTTTAGAGACATTTTTACTACAACGTTTTATGGCATACTTGTTTACATACTATGACTTTTGCAACCTTTTTATGACAAATATACTATAATATACTTTGATTTTCAATGGCATGGTATAGTAGTACTTTTGTTATGACAGAATTAGCAAATAGAGGAGCCTACTAGGTATATTTATTTAAGTTTCTTGTCTGTCCTTATTTAGAGCTGTCTATCCATGGGCTCACCATGCTACAGGCGGCAAATGTGCCTCAGTCCCAGACAACCAATGACATCTCCAGATTTAACAAACAAGTACCGTGATTGGGTTGGGCTAGTAGAAGGCGGGATGTTAAAACAGAGCTTCACCCTACATTTAACAAGTCGGCGAACCTAAAAAAAACGGAACTCTGACTCTACCTTCAAAATAAACTTTTGAATTTATCAAGATTACCTTTTTTTACAGAACATGTCTTTATTGGGGTAAGTCTTTTCATTGATATGTATTTACATGTTAACATTCACATCAGTGTTGTATACAAAACATAGTGAAACATGTTTTTATAATGTTATACTACAAATAACGTTTATTTTGAAAATCCTGACCGGATAACTTCTTTATGACTTTTTTGTTGCTTTCCAGTTACCGCTAACCGAACTTGCCAACCGGCGCTCGGCGAGATTTGATGGGGATTTTGTCGAAATTATGGCATCGAAAACTCTGAAAACGTGTGCCTTTTTTGTGTTTAGCCAGCTGTCGTTTGGCAGCAGATTCCAAGTTGTGGATTAGTGAAATCACAGTACCGGACAATGCTAACCAGTTAGCCCGGAGTCGATGCTAATTGGCTAAGGAAGTTAGCCGGTTAGCTTGCCAGAAGCTGGATTTCTTGTTTGGCGCATTTCAAGCCTGTTCGCCGACCACTTAACTATTTAACCTGTGCCGAAAATACAGCATTCGTTTGTAGCTGTCAAATACGAAATACTTGAATTTTCACTATCGGCTTTTTAAAATGAAGTGTTTCGCTTAAGCGGCTGTTTTACCGCAAACGCTGCTCTTTTGTTTTGACAAAGGAAGAGGACCCGATTTTCTTTTTTTAACACCAGTTCACATCTGGTTGGACAGTTGCCTTTCGTTTGGCAATGGCTCCACAGAAGCAGAGCTCCTCAGGTGGAAGTCACTCTGGGGGCTTTGGTTCTGGAGGAAAAGCCAACGGGTCCTGCCACCAGTCCACCTCCTCCTCCTCCATGGCTGTAGCCAAGAAGCCCAGCATGCAACACATTCAAGCCGACCACGAGTTGTTCCTGCAGGCCTTCGAGAGTGAGTTGCTGCTGTTTTAAAGATATCATTGGAGTTTAATGTAAGGTCGCAGGAAGCTTTACAGGAAACCGGGTAAATGCTCCATTGTTGAAGGAGCAGATCATTGTACTACATACTTTAAACTATCATCGTGATTTAAGCTTTGTCGTTTTTCCAGTTTACTTTTATTTACCAGAAGTGGAAAAAGTATTCAGATCTTAACTTAATTCATAGCTCCAATTACCATGCTGTGAAAATACTCAAATACAAGTAAAATGCATGCATTCAAAGACTTAACTTAATTAAAACAATGCAAGTATTATTATCTTAATGTACTTCAAAGTACTTATTGTTTAGTACAATGTTTCCCGTAAATGTTTTACTTTTAGAAGTATATTTTGCATTGGTTAATTTGACTTTGGGTCTATGGTTGTTAAGGATGCATTATTTTAACAACTTTTAGTTTAACTTCTAGTATTTTTCAAATTACTTACAATGTAAATAAACAAAATTACCTGACAACAAATGATATCTTATTTTGAATGTCAGCAAAAAATAAAACGACATAAAGAAAAACTGTCAGATCCTCTTGAAATGTAGAATCTTTTTTTCTTGATACATGACTTGGATGATTGAGTTTATTAACAAAGTTAGATTTTATCACTAAATGTACCGAGCTTGACACATGTTAAGATTTAAAAACACTTGCATTAAAGGCTGAACACTTCATAAAGTAATGTGCTGATGATGTCATCATATTTATTTGCAGAACCAACCCAAATCTACAGGTTCCTTCGCACCAGGAACTTGATCGCTGTGAGTCTTGCCTTTCCTTGAACAAGTCACATGACTGACTTGACCTTTTTAAGATCAGAGGAAATGTCCCTGTACCTTCAATTCATGTGTTTTATCTCTCTGCTACATTTCAGCCGATATTTTTGCACAGGACCCTCACCTACATGTCCCACAGAAACTCAAGGAATAACGTTAAAAGGTAAAAATCCAGTATTTTTAATGCATTAAATCAAGATTTCCCATGAAGAGAATTATTAGAAAATGTTACGGCTCAACAGATCAGGTGTTTTTTTATTTTGGTTGCTTCTTGTATCGTTGCTTCTGTCTCGTTTTTCTTTCGTAGCTTTATGTTAAACCTGAAACTGACTCTTGAAAAGCAGGTCAAATGTTATCTTAAGAGAAAGTTAACCGGCGTGTGTGCTGCAGTAGGAGGGGACAAAGCTAGGAGAGAGTTTTTCAGTTAGGCTGCTTTGCATACAGATGCTGCTAAAAAAAGAGATTCTACTGATGCACATGGGGCTGCTTGTGGTCCAGGAGAGTTAAAATAGAGCCATGTTGGTGTTTACACACGGATGTTGTGTTAAAGGAATACAGGTTATTGTATTCTCTGTTGAAAAGCTTGGGTTGCATAGTTTTGTAAAAGAAAGTGTTGAAAACTAGCCATTGTATCAGCTGCTATTCATGTAACACCAAGCAGGAGCAAGTTGAATATTGGTTGATAATCCGTTTTTCATTAGCTACCAAACTGTCTCTGTCTAGCCATTTATATTAATATTTTTGTCAGTTTGATGCTTTTTTGCAATTTGTCCTTTACAGCTGTTTGGGTTGACTTGAAATATGTATGAATTGTATTTTTGGGGGGATTTTTCTGCCAAAGGTTTGACACTGGTATCAAAAGACTGTCACTGACAACCTGCTGTGCTTCATGTCATTGGTGATACTGGTTGAACAGCATTTGTTTATGCAGGTGTTGCTGTTGCTCAAAACAAAAATGTATTTGCAAGAACTGCAATGAAAGATTATTTTTCTATCAATTAATCTGCTGATTCTTTTCTAGATGAATCAAAAAGCATCTCTGTTTCTCTCAATGTCTTGATTTGTCAATGAGAAAAATCCCTTTGCTCCTTTGGTAATCATTTAGTATTTTTTATTTTTGAAAAGTTAAGATCTATTCAAGCTTTTAACGAGAAAATGCATACATTTCCCAAATGTTAAGAATTACATTTTGGACATTATGTAATCTCTGTCTGAAACCCTTTCAACCTACATCTGTTACCATCTTACTAAAGTGTGTGTGTTGCCCTTATTTAGACACATAAGAGCCAGAGTTTTCTTCTCTTGTCACACCAACTTCTTGTTAGTGCTTGCTTGGGAGTTGGTAGTGGACTGAAAATGGCAGACGTTAGAAAAACGTTTGTTATTCCTGAATTGAAGTGTGCTCAGTGAACTGAGCGACGTGTCTTTCTGCTGCAGCTTGGCTCAGTTTCACTTTCCGCTGCCCTCCTGCATGCTCCAGGCACATGAAGCACTGCTGGTGATGAGAGATGAATACGCTCCACACAGATAACTGACATGCATCCAATTTAAGAGAAGCTGTGGATTTTAATAATCAGATTGAACAATGTTAAAAGTCTTTACTTTAATCTGCGCTGAATTAAACCGCTTAAATGTTGCAATGCATTGACACGTTTTCTGTCAGTTTATTAAGACTGACTTAAACTGTCTTTTTGATACCCTTTTTTAAAGTGTATTTTTTTTTCTTCAAAACTGATCCATAGTCTGAATTTAGTCTGAATGTTTTATGCCAAGTAAAGGCTCATAGTACTGCATATCCGGACGCAATAATTGTTTTCCTTGAGAGTGGAATAATGGCGTTCATGTGACAGTACAGTGTTGCTTATATTTAGTCGATGCATTGGGTTGTTGGAGTTAAAGTTGAGCCATTATTTAGGGCTAAACTCTGTCAAATGAAGATGTGAGGAGGAGGGTTTCAATGTGATGCAAGACCCTGCAGAACCTCACAGGTGTTTTCAGTTAGCTCATTAGCCTGCCGCTCAGGTGGAAGTTGGACGGAAGTAGAAAATGATGTGAGCTCCTGTGTGGACTAATGGGCAGATTGAAGCCAGGTGGGCGAGCTTTTTTAAGCACATGGAGCTTATGCAATTATACCAAAAGCATCTAAAACAATACTGACCGATAAAGGCAAAACTCAGGGCTTGTTGTGGTCCAAATGGAACATCTTCAGTTGTTTCTCTGTCAACACTTGAAACCTCTTAAACACGTTAACCATCTCAACTACCTGCGGCTGTTTACGAGCAGCTAATATTAAGTAAACATGCTACCTGCACAACATTTAAAGAGGCCCTATAATGTTCATTTTCAGGTTCCTATTGTATGTTGTGTCTCTACTGTGACATGTCTCCATGCTTTAATGTTCAAAAAGCTCTTTATTTTCCTCATGCTGCCTGTGCTGCAGCACCTCTTTTCACCCTCTGTCTGAAACCAGAGCCCAGTCTGCTCTGATTGGTTAGCTGGCCAGCTCTGTTGTGATTGGTCAACTGCTTAGAGATGCCCCGCCACGTATAATGTGTTGGAGCTCTAGCCAATAGAAGCTTACATAGTGATGTCATAATGTTATGTAAATTAACAAAGGAAACCATTGGAGGTGTTTCTGGCAGGGGGGAGGGGAGTGTGAGAGAGAAACTCCCTCTGTAAGGAACTTTTGGATTTGAACCTTTGCAGACCATTTACATCCGAATCAGAAACGGGTTTATTGCCAGGTAGGTTCACACGTACGAGGAATTTGACTTGATGTCATGGTGCATACATAAAAATGTAAATTAAAAAAAGTACACAGATAGCGAACTATATTAAGAACACTGTAATAAAAATATAGTAAGATAGCAATAAAATAAGCAGTAATTTACATCGAAATAGAATGCAATCATTTATAGAACATAAAATATGTGCATTAAGCAATATTTAAACATTGTGTGCATTAATGTAATGCATAGAGTCTGCGTTGTGGGGGGGGGGCGGGCCTTGTTTAAGAGGCCGGTAGCAGAGGGGAAGAAACTGTTCAGGTGGCGTGAGATTTTGGTCCTGATGGAGTGCAGCCTCCTGCCAGAGGGGAAGGGGTGAACAGGTTGTGTCCAGGGTGGGAGGGGGCGCCCACTATCTTCCAGCTTCAGGGTCGTGGAGAGATGGCAGATTGCAGTCGATCACCTTCTCTGCAGAGCGGATGACACGCTGCAGCCTGCCCTTACATGCACAGAAACCTATATGACACACTACAGGAAAGGGAAAAGCTTAACTTTTATAACGGATAAATGAGCATTAATATAACTGTTATAGCAGATGATGTTAGTCTGTGGACTGAATCTAAATACAGAATGAATCCATTTCTCTGTGAATCTTCTTCCTGTGTGTAGAGTTGTGTTGTTCTGCCTGTGGCTGACTGTTGGATGGTGTTGTTGCTAACCCCCGCTGTTTGTCTGCATGTACAGGAAAAGCGCCAAGGTTGACAATCTGTTGTTCAAAGTGGAAAAGATGAGAGGAGAACAGGAGACTCACAGGTAAATACTCAGCAGAGATGTAATGCTCCTTTTCTTTTGAACAGGGCAGCAATTAGCTATAATCCTCATTATCAATTATACTGCTAACTATTTTCAAGATGATTCAATTCAATGTTTGATTAAGTGTCAGAGTCCATGCCAGTTGAAAGCTTAAGGGGCTTTCAATGTCTTGTGTTGTGACAATACAACACAATGTTTTCAGTTTAATACGTTTACATGTATACATCATTGTAAAGCTGAAAACAGCATTTTCTCGCCATTTTGCCAAATGAAATTGACTTTGAAACAATGAATCAGTGTACAAAACGTTTGCTGTTTATTTTCTGTTTATTTTTCTGGTAATTTCTGATTATCTGTAAGAATTCTAATAAAAAGTTCCTCTGTTTCCCCCCCAGCCTGGCCTCTAATCTGCAGCTCACCTTTACTGGCTTCTTCCACAAAGCTGGTAAGTCTTCTCTTCCCGTACTCCATCCTGTTTTCTTTAGATGTAGTCTTTCCCCTGATTCTGGGTGACTGACAGGAAGTCTTTTCGCCCCGGTGTCTCCTCAGGGAAGTCATCTCAGGACAGTGAGAATGAGCAGAACTCCGTCTCTCTGGAGGTGCTGCTGGTCAAAGTCTGTCACAAGAAGAGGAAGGTGTGTGTTGGTCATCACGTGCTCTCAGGGGTCTCTGTAATGCTCTGAAATATATCTGACGTGTGTTCTCATGTCCAGGATGTGAGCTGCCCGGTGAAGCAGGTCCCGACAGGGAAGAAGCAGGTTCCTCTGAACCCAGACACCAGCGCTGGAGTCTCCCCCAAGCCCGGCTCCGTCCCCTCTTTGCTGGTTCCCAGCAGCGAGTTTGAACCCAGCAACTCTCACATGGTCAAGTCCTACTCGCTGCTGTTCAGAGTGTCGAGGCCCGGAGCCCCCCGCGCCCAGATCAACGGCCTGGCCAACGGGGAGAACCACCACAGCAGAGGTGAGGACTGACTGTTGGTTCCTCTGCTTTGTCAAACATGGGGCTTCTTTCTGTCCGTTATATACAGTGATGCAAATTAGTCGCTTTTCGGCGCCTCCCGCTTTTTTAACGCTGATTTGGGTGACTTGTGTAATTCGTGGAGAACCGAAGAGTTTTCCTTTTNGGGGGGGGGGGGGTGTCCGTCCATGCGACGGACGGACGGACGGACAACTTCTCACTTCTCACTTCAAAAAAGTAGAAGAAATCTAGCGAGTGACTGTTTTTCCTGGCCGAGGACAGGTTCCTTGAACACAACACGAGCGTAACGTGTCTTCACGTGGTTATGTCTCGTCTGAGAGGAGTGTAGACTAGACTAGAGTGCTTACGGAGAGCACCGTAACGCCGCTCCAGCTCTTCAAATATTGCAGTACCCATAAGGAGCCGTACACACCGCAGTGTTTGCGTGGCTGTGTCTTTAGTTGTAAGCACAGTGGCGATCTGTTGTTATTAGCATCTGGTTAGCTAGCTATGCTAACGAATTTAAAGAGCTTTTCTACAACCAGGTGGAAGAGAGCTCTCTCCTGAGAGGCTCAAATAACCTCAGCTCAGTGAGGTTAAG